AATATTACAAAATAATAACACCTAAAATATAAAATAATAGTACAAATTGGTCATTAATGATTTAGTGGCAATTATAGCTTTGGTTAATTAAGTTGGTTAATTTATTAAAATGATTAATATTAAGCATTCAGATTACACACAGCAGAGAATATAAAATTATATATTTTTATAGTTTCAGATTAAAACATAGCAGTTATTCACATGGCTATCATTTTTCAGTTGTAAATTTACTTATTTAGGTTAAATTTAATAATCTAGACTTGTGACAAGATATGTGTAATAAATGCTCAAGATGTGTAAAAAAGTAGAGTTTACTGAAATCATTTACTTCATGCTTGTGTTAAGAAAGAAAATCAAGTAAAAATATAATTTATGTACATTAAAATCACATTAAACATGTCTCATGTTCAGTTTTCAGTACTTTAATCCTGGTAACACTTGCAATTCTGTCTCTATGGGTTCCTTTTCAATTTCTATTTCAGTTGTGTTATCTAATGGTTTTAAAATCTTACCTCTCCATAATCATTGAACATGCGTATGACTTGGTCCGTCAGATTAAAAATATTCCGCCAGTCAAACTCCGGCATATCCTCAGGACGATCTTCCGGTGGTCCATTGTAGAGGAAATTGAGAATATCTTTGGATGAGAGCTCTGTATCCTCAAGATTTCTGTCAATAAAATCTGCCACTGTGGGGTTCTTAATTGTATTCTGAAAGAAGTTACAAAACCCAGTATGTTTAGCAGTGAACTTATATATATATAACTTTTATAAATTTAGTGTGAAGTGCTTCTGTTTACATTTAAAAAAATAGTTCATACATATTTAATAGTGACTCACAAATACATTAAAAAATACAAATTAATATGCATATAAAGTATAAAGCCTAGTATACTATACAACATTATATATAAAGTTAAGAAAAATATTTAATACAACATATTTTGTTATGTTTAGCATATAAAGCATGATATAAAAATGAATAAGAATCTACTGATATCACATTTTCATTTGCTTTAAAAACTTCTTAGAAGAGGAAAAAGACTGTTGTGCTATGATGATATAAGTAAAGGAGTATTTTCTTCTAACAATTTAAGTAGCGTAAAACCTCGGTAGCGGGCGTCCTGTTTTGTTTTAAGAAAGCCTTACTCGGATCATGTTCATCTGTACGCTGTTCTGAAAAAAATCCCAAAGCTGAGGGCTCACTTCCTCCCAAGCCTTTCCCATGCTTCTCAATCTCTCTAGCTCCTCAAAGGTAGTATTAGCCTGGGACAGAAACACAAACACAACAGCAACACTAAAATATAAATTGTAAATATTCTATTAGAAGACATGATTGCTTATAAAAAACAACTTTAAAATTAATGGTTGCATATATTTAGATTACATATACAGTTTTTATAAAAATACCTAAATGATCCTAAAGAATGTTCCCCTTTGTTATAAAAAGGATTTACGTAATGTACAGTAGATCTGTCATTATATAGTAGACCTACATGCAAGCTCCTCTTCCAAAGGATTGCATTCTACTGTAGGTTTAAATTGCAGTAAGAGGCAAAATAATTTATTTGTGATGCTAAGACACAAATAAATTATCTCTCAAATAGGCAAGGATATATCTACATCAAATTTAAGATCAGACACGAATTCAGCACTTCAGAATCTCTCATCCAAAGAAGCTCATCCAAAAAGTATTTTCTTAGTCTAATAGCCAGTCACCTCACTCTCAAAGAAGACGGACTGCAACCATGAGCATTCTGAATGAGAAAAGCTAAGAGAGCAAACTGATAAGATAAAGAATTTCCTACTTTGTAGGATTTCCTATTTGAAAAGTGACTCTTCACTAAATTTCACATCGGACCTTCACATGAATTGAATTAGATCAACATCAAGCAAAAAAGACAAAAAAGAATTCCTAACTCTGATTCAACTTTACTTGTGCATGATTTTTTATACAACACTTTAATGTTGTGTTTGCTAAAGACATCATTATGTGATTCATATGGTATCCCATAATAATCTTAGACATAGGCCTTCCTTTTGCACTATTTAGATTAAGATCTGAGGGAAATGAAAAACAAAAGGTGCTGAAAGCTAAAAAAAGGAAGCTGTTCTGTGTGAATTTCTGTGTGAACCTCTGCCTAAAACTTCAAGTGTTAATTATTTAGTAAATGTAAACAATCTGTCACCAAAGTTGATTACAGTTGTAGTGGTGCAGTAATGCAGACATTACTGCATTACAAACAAGTGTCTTCTGTTTAAAACCAAGTTATCTATTTCTTATAATTGTTTATAAATGGCAGCATCTATATTTTTCATCCACACTATGATTTTTAAAGCTTTAAAGGGTGCAGGTTACTACATATTAAATGACAGAAAGGGACGACTTATAATAAATTCTGCAGCTGCAATACTGCTAAAAAACTCATCATTTGTACATGTTATTAGTGACTAATAAGTAATGACTTAGGCTACATTCTGATGTAATGCTTTTCTTGTCACACCACCATCTCAAACAGGAAACTACAAGAATGTTACAAGAGTTAACAAACATTTTTGCAACATGCAAAAAAGAAAGATCAAAGGTTCTTGTTTTTCCTGCCATATAGCTTAAACTGAGCATTAAAAGCTTGCTGAAAGCTTCCAAAAGTCTAACCCATCACTACATGTCGGTTTTCCCAAGACATTAAGAGTATTGAGCAGCACTCCCTCTTACATTCTTCAATATCTGCCGCACTGCAGGAGAGTCAGGGGCATACAGAATCTTTCCCATCAGCAGGGGCTTCACAGAATTCCATACTATTTTGGTAACAGGGTTAGATTCCAGGTTCTGCATCAATGCATTGCAGAATGGGGCTGAGAAGGGAGGGGGAATGGAGAAAAAAAGAATATTCTGTTATCCACCACTTTCATGCAGTTCCCTTTTTATGACTACTCACTGGACTTTGCATTTTAACTTCTCTAATAAAATGGTAGGGTTTCATTTACTTTCCCTTTGAGTGGACCAGTTAAAATTCCAAAGCAGGCAGAGGTGTCATAATGCAATCTGATGCACAATTTAAACATAAACCTCACTTTGGTAGATTATCATCTTAGAAATGTGCAATATTCTAGAGCACTTACTAGTGGTCTTGTCATAGATGTAATGGGCTTTTCCATGTGTGTTATTAATTCCCAGGAAGGCCTTATAATTGTTGTCCTCATACCAGTTGAACGAAAAGACCCTGGTGCCCCCACCCTCAGGATACCCACAGAAGAGATCAGACACTGAGTTCATTAGTTGAGAGAAGGAGGATGGGCCGCCATCTTGGAAAAGAGGATAGAGAACCTGAAGCAAATCTTTGAAGCTGCTCCTCATGGCCAGCTAGGAAGAAGACATTGGAAATGATTATTTAAGAACGTGTTCAGACTGTTCACTAACCATTAAAAAGACTATTAAATGAAGCAAAAGCTGGCATACAGCTGTTTTTTTTTTCCATTACCGATGTGTGAGAAAGCCTCACTGATACCGAAAAAATAAGGTCAGAACAATATAAATAAGAAACACTTATTTTGTAATAGGTTTCAAATGTTGCTCGCAGACCCTTTCAGCAAACTGTTCGAATTGAAATGATTAGTATTATTACATTATATGTAATTCAATGGTTAAAACAATTACTGGCCATTGTGTTTTGGATATTTTTGCAAAATGTATCCCTGCATTTGCTCGTCCAGACAAAAAATTAGATCAGTTAAGTGAGAAACTTGTTATGTAAATGTTTTTGTAATGTAATCAATGAAATATTCTGCTCTGGTTGTATTGTTCCTAAAAAGAGTGCAAGAAGCCGTCTCTCAAATTATTGTATAATTTCTTAATTACATACATTGCAGCAGCTATAAGAATAATAAAAATCTGCAGTAATACTCAATACAATGTACATATACATGCACATATTATTAGATAAACTACATAGGCAGAACTCTCCCTTGGAGATTTGCAATTAACATTTTTTTCATCCATAACATAAAAACAAAAACTTTAGTATATAAACCTCAAAAACCTAGTTTAACCCATCTCAAAAGGGCTACAAGCAGTAAAAAGTAATAGCTCCCTCGCTTATTTTTCTTAAGAACATTAAATGTATTTATCAAGGCTGCTTCCCGTATAAATGAGTAGCAAAACGTTAATCTCCTCCCTGGATGACCCGTCAAAGCAACAGGCAGCCAATTAAGGGTGGCAGATGTGTTGTGTGCATACACTGGTCTCCAGGCTTGTCCTTAATGCACGCCGTTGATAAGAAAGATTAAATCTAGGTTGAAGTGACTCACTTTGATTCCCAGACTAATGAAAGTATAATGAGAAATTAAGGGGAGAATACACAATTGGAATAAACGGTTTTATTGTTTTAGAGCTTAATTATGTTTAATGCTTTATGTGGATTAAATGCAATTCAAAACTGAGTTCTATTCAGTAAAATCATGTTGTGATGCCCAACTGATAGGGAACTGACAAAGCACAGACATTAAGACACCTTAAGAGCAAATTTGAGGCTCTAGACTTAGTCTTGATATTAAACCACAACACTGGCCTCTTTGATTCTCCGACTCTAACAAACAGACAAAACAAAAGCTATTTGGTGTTTACGCAAACCAGGAGAGGAAGTTACAGTTTCCTGAATCATATGAAAACTGTATTTGAACTAAAGATCAAGCCAAGTTTACCTCTCGTAGTTTTTCTGACAGATTTGCCAGTACTCGTCCCCAGAAATGGAGATCAATCCCAGATGAATGATTGTCCAGTGTCCTAGGAAGCTGCAAGAGCAGAATATTAACATGAAGGTTTGCATGC